CTCGTCCAACCCCCCTTTCCAGCTCTTTTTTTGACCCTTTGTAATTCTTTTTGTTCATCGTTTTTTTGCGCTTTTTTCGTTGTTATCGCTTTATTCTAGAGTAGTTCTATCGATTCACCTCAAAAAAGGGTACCCTAAATTTATTGCTAACGGTGCCTTTAAATATTGAGATTATTTTCCATATTTTCGCTTAATTTTTAATTTTATTACTCATTCAGTAGTGCTGAATTGGGCCGGCAGCAAGAACATCATGTAAGAAATTCTTTTTTTACAGTTGTATGGAAACGTCTGCTACAAATGCGGTGAAGCATGTGGTGGTGAGGTATTCCAAGCACTTCAAAAAAGCTGGTGTATCAAATGCTTTGCTTGCTCATTATGTGACAAAAAGATGGATCATAGGTAGGGCTTCGTTCGGTACAGCTTGAAAACATTGTAATTAATTCCTCAGTTTTCGAAAAAATTTGTTTTCAGGACGAAATTCTACGAATTTGACATGAAGCCCACCTGCAAACGATGTTATGATCGTTTCCCAACGGAATTGAAAAAACGGATTTCGGATAGTTTGAAGGATAGGGATTTAGAAAATCAACGTCGACGCTCACAAAGTCCATCTACCCTTCAACGAACGTGACCCGATTGATTTGGGGCTCTAATTTTTTCCCCGATGTAAGGGCCAAAGCTGTCAGATATATTCTGCCTCCCTGATTGCTGCATAAATCTATCCTGAACTTCGTTATTTCTCATGACGGTTCGGTGTACTTATAGATATTTTTGGATTGCTGTTGATTATAGACTGTTATTGCTTATGGAATATTGGATAGATTTGACGAAATTTTGGAAAATAAGAATTTTAAAATATTGTTCTCAGTTTCTATTCTCTGCCTTGCACGTACATATTGTTTCTAGGAATGTGACACTTAATGGAGTGGGTCTTTAGGTCCCAGAAAATGAATTGCTTGTTCACATTGTGGTCGTTGTTTCAATGCCTTCGCGTACATCTGACTAGCTGCCTTCACGAGTTGAACGGATGAAGCGATAAAGTCTTTTGGGTTGATCAATGCAATTTGAAGAGTGCGCCGTGAACTCGACCTTCATTAAGGATTGTAGTGCCGTCTTGCGATTGTAGTCTTGAAACCTCTGGAGCCTGTACGATGAGTTGCGGGGGCAGCCGATGTGCATGTCAGTGTATTTATCCTCTCAGACGAGTCTGTCAAGAAATAGTTGACCTAGGAGTTGCGCCACAATCAATCCAGGTTCAAATCCCGGATCGAGCTTATGCTGATTGAGCATCACTTGGAACTACACCACCTCTGCCCTTCAAACCCTGTGCGTCAAATTTCGTTCGCGAATAATTCGGCCTGTTAGGGGCTAATTAAGTTCCAGAAATGAGGACGCTTATGGTTGACTGATTCGATGAGAGACTCGCTTACCTTCAGGTAACCTCTTGAAGATGATCGATTCTCTGCCAAAGCACCCAACACACATTCATGGGTGACTGGAAATGTTGATAAAGTACCCTATGCATGTGGTATGGGGTTGAAAGATATAATGGAATAACGTTTTATCCGAAATGTACTGGTACTGGTAGCCTTACTGTTTTCGATCGCTTCGAGCCTCCTACTTCCTATTAGTCATTCGAAAGAATGAGGTTTATTTCCTTCACACTTACAAATCTCTTTTCATATACATTTTGGGAATTAAGTCCTTATGGAGACCCGGATCGGACCTGGCAAATGGCAGCAAATGATCTGGGCAATGGGCAAAACTCAACTAGGTAAGTAGCGGGAATACTTTACCGTAATCAGTACACCAAAGCGGATCTGTATCTCGAATGGGTTCGATCCTCTAACCCTTGAGAGGTATAGATCCGGCTTTAGGTACAGTTTCCTGCGGGTGCTAGTTCCCTTCGAATGTGCGCTCTCTGCATACCTCCTGACCGGCAAGTAAAGTTTATGTGATGTTCAATAAAGCGGTCATCGGTTGTGGTCCTGTGCTGTTTGGCTTTAACTGATTGCGATTCAGCTATCACCAGCCGATTATCACTAAACAACACTTTTCGCGGTAAGTTCAATTTTATACGAACTCCAAATGGAAGCAGCCGACTCAAATGAGCAGCCACCTGAAGTCAGAAGTCCACGAAAGATGGATTGGAGGGATCTTACGGAAGCCGTATGCGTTCTAGCAGCTATTATGTTCTTGATTGGAGTCGTATTTCTGGCCATTTATATTTATAAAATAATTAAACAAACCGTCAGTGATGCTGGTGCAGTTGAGAGTAGCGAGGAAGAAACCTCTGTTCAAGAATATGATGACACCACCAACACGGAACAGACAAGTCCTGTTCGGCTATTGAGTTCAGAGATGGAATCTCCTCCAAGAGTAGTCGGTGGAACGAATGTACCGTGTATCAACGTCATATTCCGGAACGTACCACCGTATCTGAGGTGTACCCAGTGTGAGTTAGGGCGAATGCCAAAGTCCGAAGTCCCCAAAGCTCAATCAAGCCAAGTTCCCCAGTCTCACAACGTTCCCAAAGCGTCGATCTCTTCTTACAGTGAAGCAAAAGAAGTGCCAAAGTCCGAAAATCCCTCAAGTTTGACCCCTTTATCACCGTATGCCCCCACATCCGCTAATGCTCCCCATAAAGAAGAAAAAGTAATGCAAACAGCTAAATCTGAATCAAACCAGGCTCCTGCGTCGTCTCATGCTCCCTCATCGGCTTCCACACTTCCTAAGGAGGCAAAAGAAGTGCAAACTGCCAAATCTCAATCAAACCAGGCTCCCATGTCGTCTCGGGCCGCTACAGCCATTAGCGTTCCCGAAAGCGTAACGAGAGGAGCAGTCTCGGGAAGTAATGAAAGTAGAGCATGATCAGAAGATGATAAATAATTGCAAATTGATATGTAATCCATGACGTCATCGTTTTCTTTGAATGATAGCTTGAAAATAAAACGTTCTTTGGTAAAGTTGCATTACACATCAAAGAAAGAAAAAGCAAATTAATGGAATGAAAGCCAACCTTCAGGAACTGCACGATCCAAGCGTTAGAATCATCCTTGGGTGAGCCTATGCTCTCATCTCACAGGTGCAGCTGAACAGATCAGACAATGGAGTACTGTGTAGAAAGATTCGTGCTGATCTTATGTCGAATGTCAGCATTAACAAGTTGATTTTTGAAGCTGTGCACTTACCGAGTTTCAGTTAGCATGACATCAAAAGAACAGTAAAGTCAACAAGGTGAAAATGAAATTCTGCAAAGTGGGGCCGCTACACGGGGACGGTACATTCGTGCGAATCGAGCTGCGCGCGGCAAATTGCGCGGCGGAATTCATGCTGTTTTAAACGACCCTGGCGCCTATTATTGGGGCACAAACTTGAAGTAGAGTAAATTAGTATAGTCAGCTGATCCTACTAATCTGCTCTACTTCAGATTTGGGAACCAATAATGGCCTCCAGAGTCGTTTAAACCACCACGAATTCCGACGCGCAATTTGCCGCGCGCAGCTCGGATCGCACGAATGTACACATACCCCCGCTACACAGATGCCCTAGCAGAATATGTTCTAGAATGAAGTCCACGATCAATACTTATCCATGCCAGCTAATCTTTCTTTCCCAGGGTAAATGAGTAGGTATGGGCGAGAGGATAAAGACTGATTCAAGGAAGTATTCTTGGAAAAAGGTTAGTTCTTGAAAAAAAGTTATAAAGGATAAAGCGCTCCCTCATTTGATTTCCATTCACAATTAATTGTAATAGCGTTTTGAATGAGTATGTAGGGCTATACAATGACTTTCGCTGACCAGCAAGTGTACAAGGCAGTGCTTTTATCCTCCCAGACGAGTTTGGTATCAGCAGAGTTCAGAATGTTCGAGTGGTCTGTGCGAGAAATCATCCAGGACTCGAGCCCCGGACCATTAGTGTGTGACTTGTCACTATACTACTTCCAAAAAAAATTATTTCTAGAAGTTCGAACACTCCACAATATGGAGTTCAGTGTATTGGAACATGTCTCGAGCAAATTTGACCATTCTTGCTTATTTTATCTTTTGGTTTTTCACTACAATGAGTGAAAGGCAGGCATTTTGTTCAAGGTGCAGTATCTTAATCAGACCCAGAAAGCCCAGAAGACCCAATGTCAGTATTTCCGGTTCATTTGGAGTTCGAGCTCTCTGGGATATCTGGAACACGGTCAGATTGCAGGTTAACAGTGGTAAATATTCACATTGTACCGATGCTCTACATATTGAAATTTCGCATGATTCGATTCAGTAGGAAAGGAGTTGCGACAGAAAAGTGTGAGTTAGAAAACATTCAGCAGAAGGCTTTTGAGCACTACTGTAAGTCGAAGCTTCAGATCTGTGGCTTACCAGACCAATCGTTCATGACGGCTAAAACCAGACATGAAATCGTCTTTTTATTACACCAATCAACTATGTTTTCAAGGAAAGACAATCCGATAGCTGAGTTTCACCCAAGATTTGCTCGGATTTTCAGCAATTCAGCCTTTTATCAATACTAATTGCCAGTAGGTGTGAGGTCTTTGATGGTCTAAGAGCTGTGTTTGAATTGACAACGCTAACAGAACGGCTATTCTCGGGGTTCGATGACTTCCATTTCGGGAGCTGTCGTTGACGGAGTTGACGGCGTTGACAGCGACAGTGTTTGCGGTCCGAGTCCGAGCTGGCAGGCGGATCACCACAGTCACTCCCTCAATCCCTACCAAACCGGTGCAGCTCTCGCTTTTTTCAGAAATATTTTCATTATTGATCTAATTACAAATGAATAACAAGTCAAAAAGCGGCGTTAAAGGAATCCAGTACAAGCATGAGGTTTGTTGAAGTACAAAGTGTTTCCATTTTATAGGAATAATTAGGTAATACAGTGATATTTCTAATGAAACCCGGTTGCTCAATGTAAATTCCAGCAGGTCCGTTTCGATCAAGCCGAGTCTCACCGTCGGCCTAGTGACTGTGATATCTACGAGAGATACTCCGTACCGTACCATAACGAGGGTAAGTAACAAACACAATTTACTGGCATTTTTTTTCGAGTGATTATGAGTCCAGCAAATGCAGAGGTGCTCTGATTCCTACCAACTTTTTCCTTATCCAGAGCATCGCCATGGAGGGCCTTTTTCGGTCAAAGTTCGGATTTTTGAGAACTAGTGAAGAACCGCTTGTAAAAGGGTCTAACTTCTGCAAAATTGCGCGAATTTGTCCCAGTTTACCACGCCAGTGTCGTTCAAATTCCATAAACAACCTTATTACGTTCGTCTCATTTTGGCAATTCGTTTTCTTAGGAGAATCTGAGCTTCATTTCTTCGACAAGGCTGTGATTCTTCACCACCGATTCCACTCCGCTTTATTCTTTGTATCCCTTTATCATCGATTCGAATGAGCTTTTTTAGGCTGCAATTTGTACTTGAATTCGAAAGTCTTAGTTCCTCAGTAGGGTTATGCGCTGAGCAGTAAATAACCAGATTGAAATTCTCTCTAAAATCTGAGTTTTCGGATGAATTTTTGAAGGACCTGATCATACTGATCCAGCGATATTTTCAGGATTTCACGATCGTTACGAACGGAATCATGAACGACAGCAATTTCGTGAAAGACGAAGCCCGGATGACCGATATGAAAGTGTTACGGTACCTCATGGGATTCATGTTGCTCGTATTGAAATCGCAAACGACGAAGAAGAGAGTTGGAACCAACGCGAAGTCGAGCGGGATCCGATGAAAACAAAGAGCTATTCGAACAATGAGAGACGTGGTACGGGCCAGCAGAACTCGAATTCGGTGCAGAACACCAGCAATATCCCTCCTCCTCCTTGTATGAAAAAGTTTGAAGTCATTGATGGATACAGGTCTTCTTTGAATCAAATCGCTTCCAAACAACAGCAACAAGCCAATTTGGTGAAAGGAAGTGGTCCTAAGCGACGGACAAGGGACGAACAGCCTCAATACAACTCTGACCCGCTTATCGAAAGACCGAGATATCCCGATTCGAAGACCTCACCTGGAGCTAAGGAGCACATTTCACTGTCAAAAGAAAAGCCAAACAAAATGGTCGTTGTCAATATGGCAAAAACTCAAAATGGTGGTGTTCAGAGACCTGCAGACGCAAAAAGTCCAGCTAACCGGAGAGTGTCCACAAACCCATTCCTCAAGGTCCCTGACAACAAACATCAGCATCGGGAGCAGACAACACCTCAGCAGCACATCAAAAACGTCCAAGAAGTGGTCCAGAAGATGAACAGTGGGGAATGGCCCATAAAAGTCAATGAGGAAATAGTAGAGGTAAAGATTGAAGTACCGCCACTGCAAAAGAAGGTTGCCCAAAGAGAAGAGCCCGTTGAGAAGGCACTGAATTGGGAGACCCTGCCGCGAAGCAGAAATTCACCCGAGGACGAACGACGAGAAGGAAACAATCGGGAGCCCCCGCAGAAACAAGAAAAGGAGAGAAATAGAAAGGAAGAGGGAAAGAAGATGCACAGGAGGAGGAAAGCTAGAGGTAGCCACTTTCGTATTTTCCTTTTCCCATATCTCTAGGAATCCTGGTATTTCCAGATGATGATGACAGTTCCGACCGAAGCGACGTCGGCGAGCTGACCACAGTGTCAACAGATTCGGCTTTCTGCTCCGAAGCCTTTCCTGCTCACAACTATCAACACAGATCACAACTGGCTTTACAACACCAGCAGAATATCAGGGAACTCGACATGGAAGCAGAAAAACTGCTTCTTTACTTCAAAGGGCATAGAGTACTACTTAATTATCTGGGTAAGTAGTGAAAATGGCTCCAGTAAATATTTTGCCTGGACCACCTTCTTCAGGTATTGGTCTCACTGAAACATTGTGGCGTCGTATGGCTCCACTTCGGTTATGTGAAATGGAAATTAGACCAGTGGAGGTAAAATTGAAATTGAATCAAGAAAATGACAAGCAATCCGCAAAAAAGCGAACACTTTTATGACAGAGCTCGGAGGCCCCTCCGACTACATTGTAGATATAATAGCATCAAAGTTAAGTATGTAAGTCCTAAAGGCATAACTCGAAAAGCAAGTAAGTAAATAAATAAGTAAGCAAGTAAGCAAATAGTTCAATAATGATGCTCCAAATTACTGAATCATTCTTGAGTAAAGTTTACATCTAGCATCTTCCACAGCTGTCTAGAAATTCACTTTATAAGTTTAGGATACAAGGCAGTACAGTGATCGGGTCGATAAAGAGCCCAAAATGGTGATGGTACAGGTGCCCAATAACGATGGCAATCGACAGCACTCTTCTAACAACAAAGTAAGCCTGATAATAACTTCAAAAGACAATCTTCTACCTCTACGTGGCAAAATCAATACGACCTTCATGTGAAGATCGCACACGTGAACAATATTGCGCAAAGCACTCAAGTTCTACGGTGGAAGTCTCATGCAAAGTCAGCTAACTAGTAATTTAACAGTAATTTAATTCACTGTGAGAGACGAGACTCACATTATCCCGAGATGTGACAGAAGGCCCTCTTGCGTGCGTTGCTGTACCCCAAATCGAGTAATTTTCGGTTCTTTCTCCTCGGCGGTCCATAATTGACAAGTTGACCAGAAGTCTTTTTCGAAATCGCCTCAACCGGTGACCCTGATTCACCGCATTCATCTTGGCACGGGATCCTAGCTAGTCGGGAATGAAGCGTTGTAAAAGAAAATGTGTGCTCATTTTACCAATAAGTGTGTAGTAAATTAGTAAAATGGAAATAACCCAATAATTGCTAGACTAGGCGAACTGACTTACACAATTTCAGACCGAGCGTGTGGAGCGATCGCTTCCAGCACAGGTATTTTTTAGCTTCGAATCGAACAAGATCATATATTGTTTGACTCTTTGACTATTTACTGCAGAAATGTATTAGACCAGGTTTTTTCCTTATCAGAGTCCTCGCCTTGTTGCACTGGAGCGACAACTACGTACAGACGATCTGAACTATGACTGGGAAGAAAGTAGTCGCGGATACTCGAGTGACGGTGAAGGAGAAAGGCGTGATGCACGGAGGCTGGACTCCAGGTGGAACATTTTCCAGAAGTGATTGCTTCGATCTACGCTTGGAAATATTTTCTTTTTTTCGATTCTTGTCGTTAACCTGGATGGATGTGCATTCTTAGATACTGTATTAAAGGCTTGTCCGGTTCCGTGTAATCGATTTAAATTACGAATTGCACAAACAGCGAAAGGTGGTAGCTTTTTTCAGACAAAAATTCAAGGTGAATAAGCGTAACGGACTCCTAAAAGTCTAGTGCTCACAAGGACTAAAAAGCAAAGGATTAAAAAGGACTGAAAGGGTTAAAATATCAATGCGGGGTTCTACGCCCATAGGGTGTGGTGCGTTAGGAGCGAAAGGTCGCGTCGCGGTGAAAGGGGCGTCGCGAGCGAAGGAATGTAGCAGGATGCAGTAGTAGGTAAGAAATACAAGAACAAAAGTACTAATAGTAGAATTATGCATAAAATAATGATCGCATATCGATTGAGCTGTATGAAGAACGCTAGAGCTGTAATAACGGTGAATGAGTGGTCCGCGACAGCCGCGTGCGGCAAATCGATTACCCAAAATCGCTCCTAACGCCCGTCTCCCACGCTCATAACCCATACGTCTTCGTCAATAAACCAATACAATAGCTTGTTTCAGAATTATCTTCGAGAACTTGTTCTTACTTTTAGAAGTGGCAGATTTGTGAAGAAATCCGCTGCCGCTCTGATTGCAAAGAAGCAAGGATTCCCGTCACAGCCTTGTCTCGAAGAACCGGTTCGTATCATCTTTCTATTTGATTCTCCCTTGGAAGTAGCGAAATTATAAAGGGTTCTCTTACAGAGACAACCACTTTCAACGTTATGTCTGAGACCTAGTAACTTGCTTCCAACTATTCCTCGTGCTTCCTCAGATCGGAGAAAACTTGATAAGTATCTTTTGACGACTTGATGATTACTATTGCAGAGTTCGTCCGAGATCGTTGATCCCAGAATCGCTAACGAAATCCGCGCTCTTCGTGAGAGAGAAGAAGAGCTGCGCCGTAGTCGAACTGAACTAGGTCTTCCAACACTGGATGACGTTATGAACAGGTGAGGGAGGGATAGAGAGCACTTTCACGCTTTTGAAGTTTATCCAGAAGAAGAAGGGATGAGTGGATGAGACAGGGTGCCACACTGCCAAGTGAATGCACCCCGTTTTAACGGGAACTCAAGGGAAAGGAGAAGACGAGGAACGGCAGGGAGGTCTTCCTGGGTTACACCTAAAAAGAATTCCTTTCAATGAGATACTTCTCACAACATGTCACTATTATCAACTCTTGACATCACTGCTTTTAAGGAGCTTCATTGGCCATCATAGTGGACTTCGAGCAGCTCGTTCCTACGATCAGCTTCATCAACTCGTGGACGCCCACTGCCAAAATGAGGTGGGAATACCTTAAAGACACACAAGACCAAGGTCTATATCAGTTTCATGATGGAACTGAGCGAGTCAAAAAGAGTAAGTTGAAATTCCCATGGGAAGGGTTAAAATGTCGGTCAGGACCTACCTCTCTTAATGGATACAGCAGAGTGTAAGAGTAGGATGACTACTCAGAATTGTAAGTTCTGGCCGATTAAAGCGCTGTGAGAGCCTGTAGGCCTTCGTCAAAGGCCTAGTCTAAAATAGGTTACCAAAGAGTTTTTTTTTCAGCATTTCGCCCATAACGGATATGGACAAGACCGATTCATTCACGGTTCTCAAAAAGAGAATCAGAGGAAAATGAAGAAGTCACAAGAAGGTATATATTGCTCTATAACTATTCGTACATAACCAAAAACAGGTCTGAATTTCTTCTTTCAGTTCATTCCCATCAGAGATCAGAAGAACGACCGTATTCCGAGCGGTGATTCCTTTACACTTTGAGTGAGTCAGAGATTTAAATACCCAAAAACTTTTCTTCTTTTGTGGTGGACCTTCTTGAAAGAAGTATCAGGATCAAGAAAAATCGGCTAGCATCACTATCCAGTTAAAAGTGAACTCATAGCATGGAACGGTAACGCCTAGAGCCATAACTCAACATCACACCGCCCATAATTCAGACATTTCTGTCTGAGTACCTTAAACGGAGTGTTACATTCGGCAGGGAAGAACGGAAGAGGAGGGGAGGAACGTATGCACAGAAGACGGTCCAGGAGTAGGTTCATAGCGTTCTCGGGTGTAATGATGAGCAATCTTGTCATTCTAATCAAACGCAAACCGGAAATCTGTTCCCTTCTTTTATAACTGGGTCAGATGCAGATAAGATGCTCAAAAATCTAAAATTCATAGAAGTCTGCTGCGATAAACAACAACATCATAACAACCACGCAATCCATTGTAGGATATGAATGTAACCTGACTACTCAATGAACTGGAATTCGATGCCATAGAACAAATTTATCCCCAAATCTTTGCTTCACCGATTTGATGAAGCAATGTGTCCTACCAGGAATTGGTAGTAGTAAAGACACACTTCAAGATGGAAATAGTTCCCGTGATTTCTTTGGGATGAACCTGCTACCCCAAGGAATGCTCAAGGAATGCTGTCAGGTCGAAAAAGGGCCCATATAGGGCACAGTAAGAGCCCCCTGTTAAGGGGTAAAGAACAGTTCACGATGGATATAATTCCTATGATTTCTTCTTGGGATGAACCCATTACGTCAAGGATTGCTCAAGGGATGCTGTCTAGTCGAAAAAAGGGCCCAGATAGGGCGCAGTAGGAGCCTCAATGTCAAGGGATGTCCATGAAAATTTCTGTTCTGACGTTACACTTCCATTGGTCAGTATCATTCATTGTTGTCTAAATAAATAAACAGAATACAATTTCAGTGTTCAGCTATGTTCTGCAAACCAACTGGACCATGACGACGAAAACGGCGAATGACAGCATAAAACAAATGAAAAATGAAATCAGCAACTTCCTGTCGACAGATAAACACCATTGTTTAGTTTTTCCATTATTTATTCAAGCATCAAACAAACATCATATGAATGGTTGGGTAATAAAAATATGAATATTGTTGGATGTATAATGTCAAAGTGTTTCGAGCCATGTTTTCATTCTGAGTGATTGTGATCGCCAATAATTAACGTATCAGCTGAAGACCATCTCTCTACATACAGTGGTTCGCCAGCAGCGGCTGCGTTTCATACGTGCTAGTGAGTTAGCAAATGTCTAGTTAAAAGATGAAAACGACCTACTTATTGTTAGACTAGGTGAGGGCTGCAAGCTACTAATCTTCAACTTTCCGAAGCCTTAGCGATCCTCCGACATGAAAATTTCAAAACTGAAACGTTATGGTTTATTGAGAAGATCGTATGTGGGAAGTCTTGGAATGCTCAGGTTAATTGGCTGATGTAAGGAATCCGCTGCGTTCCGGAATCTACACTTTTTGCAAAGTTTGTTAGGCTATTTTGCAGGTATGACCCAGCTTGAATGCGCTCTCATGCGTAGATTTAAATCAAATTTGTAGTGGAACGCCGCGAATCCGAACCTGTCTTTTCACAGAAGTGAGCCCGGAGCTCGCTACATCGTGAAATCACATTGCTTCGCCTTGGGCGTCGGCTACGTCAGCCTGCCAACCAGTTTTATGGCGGTTGAAGCCAACTTCTGCTCAAACGAGCTGTCCAATAGGCCGGTGGGCGATTTGGCTTAGTTCCGACGGATGCGCAGGACGAGGCAATTCCCTGCTACGATAGTAGCGCAAGAGTATGTTTGAAAGGAAATGCAGTCCCTGCAGATAAAAGCAATGGGGGCAACTTTTTAAAACCCTACAAAACTGTAGCTGTATAGAATGTCTTATAACCATAAAGACTGAATGAACACATGCCTTTGGTTTACAATTGTTTCATATCAATAATTGTGAGTTACAGCGTCACAAAATCGCATTTCTAGAACAATTACAAGATCCTTTTACCAGTATTAGTGTGCTATCAATAGCACGACAATTTCAGTTCTATGATTGCCCATTTGGCGCAGAATTAGGTTGGCGTTTTTACTCTTTGAGGTCTAGTATAAACTCTTTCACGAAATCTACTTCAGCAGTGTTCCACACAATGATGACAGTCAGCAAACATGCCCCTTGACAATGTGGGTTACTAAACCCTGAAGTATTAGTCATTCAGATACAGTAATCTCAGCATTGAGTTCCGGCTCAAATGCTTTTTGGGCTCAGCCAAGGTACTCTCCCAGCTTGCCCACTACCTGTTGTGGGTTACTGTAGAAGTGACCGGTTTTCCAATTCATCTGATCCCCCATCTACCTAATTGCATGTGATTACTGTACCGCGGAATCCGCTAACCCCATCCTCTGTACACTGACTACGGACTCGATGAAAGCCAACCAATTGATTACTTCGGATGAATACCACACTTCGAAAGGGGCGATTTTCCTATCCCACAGGAAAATTCTATTAGGGGCGTTCAAACATTTTAAGTTGCCCCTTTGGTGGTTACAGCATGGGCATCATGGGAAACTATTGATTCTGATGAGATGTGTAAAGAAGTACAAGCAGAGCCCTTCAAATCCCAAGTTGTCCTTTTGGACGCCTTCCTCACTAAAATTTCCCCTGATGAAAAGTTTGACAGCTTTTCGAGCTTTTCGTGAAAACTTAAATCCTTCGACAAACTGACAAACTTCTGATGGATATCCGTGGCAGTCCTGAAGTGCAAAAGTTTCCGAAAGAAAAGCGCCAAATGAGCAAATGAAGAAGCACCGGCAAGTGCTTAGAAGCTATCAATTGAGAGCCGAATGTGAGCTCCGGTTATTTGCCGTTGAAGATTTTCAGGAAATGGATTCTAGTGAAGGATCCCGCTAATTTTGAGAAGAACGGCATTTCAGTGGCGAAGTGGAGGAGATGACGTCGTGGAGGAGGTCGATCGTCACTCCACGGATTAGCAATCTTCGGATACAACCGACAAAAGTCCCTTTGAACCTTGAACTCATCGGATGGTGTTTGCGTCCACCTGAAGAAAAAAGAGTTGAATATGTAGAAGAGGGCTGGCTAGAAAAAATCCTAAACATTTTTATCAAGTGAAGGAATGTGTACAACAAACTTCTTATTCGATAAGCTTGACTATGAAGGAGAACAAACTCTTGTTTTCACCTTTCCGAAGGTGCGCCACGCACATGATCTCCTCCGGTTCCAAGCATTCTTTGAATGCGTACTTGAGTCCAAAGTAAGTTGCAAGACAAATGAACAAAGGCTCTCTTCCTCGTAAAGGTGAGCCACACCTTGACCACTACGAAAACGGTGAAAGGTTTGCGTACCCAACTTAAGCATAGGCATGGAGTTCGATTCCGACCCAGTCTTGGCCCAGTTGTAATGTCAAGTGCAACTGCCCTTTCCACCATAAATGAACGCGGACGCGGAAGAACCACTGTACAGGGTAGGCTCAGTCTTTCCCAAATCTTTCTAATACATCACTGAAGATAGAATTGGACCCCCTGAGTAGCCTTCGAGGGAATTCAGTCGACTGCGAGCCTCTTTGATGGAATTTGTTCGGAAAATTTCCCAGCTGTTTTTTCGAAAATCTTGTCAGCTTGTTAGGCTGTCAACATGCGGTCAAGAATTTCGAACTCAGAGATTCCCACGAAAAACAGGTGATTAATATTTGCATAAATTTTAATCCTGTGAATGTTGAATGATAGATTATAAAATTCACATAAATGGAAGAAGGATGAACTGTTTTGAGTTTATTTAATCCCATCTATTAAATGTGCCCCGCATTCGTCATCAATTCAGAATCGGAGTTACTTCTAAGTGCGTATCTGGCCCAATGTGCTCCCAGACAAGTCTGCCATCAATTAGCCGGCTCCGGAGTGATGGAAGGCTTGATCGGCTTCGAGCGGGTATCAGTGCGGGATTCGATCTCAGGATTATGCTTGCGGTGTTACGGCGGTTGGCGCTATATCACCCTCACCCAAATTTCACCTATTCTTCAAATCAACCTAAGTTAAAAGAGGTAGGCGCGTAATGGGCACATTGAGGTTCACATGGAGGGAGGTCATTCCGAATAAATAAACTTCTTCTATGAGTGTTAACGATTAAAAATTCTAAAGGAAGTGAGCGTTACAGTTTACCTACTGTAGGCCGATGTTGAAAAATCAGTAAGAAAATTTAAACGATGAATAATGAGGGGGGGGGGGGGGGG